GACACTGGGAAGAAGTACTATGGGGAGGAAGTGGGAGGGGAGCTGTTGCATTGTGGTAAACTGTGGTCAATGTCATGAGACAAAGTATATGTAAACTGATGTATGGAAAGTGAATTTGCTCTGTAAATCTTCACCCAAATCACAATAAAAAATAAATAATATATAAATAAATGTAAAAAAAAAAGTCTGTTTTCCCACATAAAATTGTGTATGTTGTTGTGTTGTGCAGTCGAGTTGGACTCGACTCATAGCAACCCTTTCTTGGGTTTCTGAGGTGGTATCACTACGGAAGTAGATTGCCCAACCTTCCAAGGAGTGGCTGGTGGGTTTGAACTGCCAGCCTTCTGGTTAGCAATCAGCTGCCTTAAGCACTACGCTACCAGAGCTCCCAAAATTATATATAGATAAAGATAAAAAAAAAAAAGACACAAAAATTACAACAGCTTCATCTGTTAGATCATGAAATTTGAGGTGAATTATTTTTCTTTCTTTTATTCAGATTTCTTGGGTATTTCTTTTAATACTAATGAACCCTAATATACTGATTTTATACATTTGACCGAAGACCTTCAGAAGCTAACACAGTTTAAAAAACAAAACCAAAAAAGTGCTTTTCCTCACATTCCCTAGGAAAAAAAAAACTAACCGAAATATATATACAAGGAATTCTTAAACTAAATATAATTATAGAATCAGCAGACAATGTGAACATCATTCAGTATCTTATTTTTAGGTTATCAAACATTACAAAAGAGATGTGCTGTCATGATTGCGTCAGATGCTAGAATATAGCTTGAATGTAGGAGGAAGGGGAGCTCTGGTGGGTTAGTGCCTAAGGCTTTGACTGCTAACCAGAAGGCTGGGGTTCAAACCCACTAGCCACTCCTTGAAAGGAAGATTGGGCAATCTACTTTTGCAGAGTTATCACCTCGGAAACCCAAGGAGGGGTCTATGAGTAGGAACTGACTCGAGTTTGTTTTTTTGTTTGCAGGAGGAAGGAAGCAAAATTTGAGGGACCAAATAGAGTTAGAAGCTCTCCAAATGTTAAAAAAAATTCCTAACTTTACAGTGCTACAGCATTGTTTCCAAAATTAGATAATGTCCCAAAAGGCAAAGAGACTGTCCTAGTTAAGGACTACAAATTCCCAAGGCAACCTACTAGCATGCTGAAACAGTGAGCTTAATACTGGACTCAGAACCAGGGTCTGTTGCCTCAGTTAAGACCCTTAACCTCTCTGAGTCTCAATGGCAACCTCTTCACAAAGGAGACAGCAAAATTTACCCTGCCAATCTCACAGGGCTGTGAAGTACATCACAAACATAACTGTATTGCTATTACTATAGTGTCTGGCTCCCACCAGCTCGCTGGTCTCTAAATATTTTTCCCTCCAAAGTTTAGAGTAGATTTTTCTTTTCCTCTGCAAATGAATCTAATTTTAAAAGTGAGTTGTGATGGAATACTCAAGCGATATATAAGGAGAGTTTAATAAAGGGACTACATACAAAAGTGAAGATCAATTAAGGGAAACTAGTAAGTGATGTAGTACCCAGGGCCAGCACCAGTGGGGATCATTAGCACCCTGGCCTGACCTGGCCAAGGGAGGAAGCAGTTACTGAAAACCCAGAGAGAACAGTAAGATAGATGTTGTGGCAATCAGAGGCAACCCAATAGCAAGGAAGCTGAGGGAATAAATGCTCCAGCTTCTGATCTTCTGGTAATGCCTCAGTTAAGAATGGATTTGGAAAGACAAAAGGAAAATATCCAGCACACAAAGGAAGTAGGCAGTACTTCTCAGTCAATTTTGCAAGCTCTTCTGGTGGCATAGTGCCTCAGGCATTTGACTGCTAACCAGAAGGCTGGTGGTTCAATCCCACCAGCCACTTGTTGGAAAGAAGATTGGGCAATCTACTTCTGTAGAGATACCACCTCAGAAACCCGAGGGGTCAGTATGAGTCGAATCTAACTCAACGGCAGTGAGTTTGGATTGGTTTTGGTAATTTATAGGAAGCAACAAATGTGTGACACTTCTTTTTTTCTTTCAGTGATACTTTATCCAGAGAATACAGAGTCCAATTTATAATTTCAGCAAGATTTTTTATAATTTAATTTGTTGTCAATCTTTTCCCTGTTTGGGCAAGAAAGACGACTTGTCTTACCTCTCTAAAAAAGACGTCTGCAGGAGTGAGGTTTGATGGAATTTCACATTCCCTTTTGTTTAAAGCAATTAATATAGCTGTGTTCACAAGGTCAGAATGTCTAGAGTGGTGGTTCTTGAGAACAATAGCAGCTGACAACTTTTCTGCATGCTCACAGAGCAACAGTCGAGTTGCCATTGGCATTCCTCTTACTGCAAAAGTGCCTAAACGTTCAAATAAGCCAACCTGGTAAAAAGACAAACATATATTCTTAAAAAGCATCTGCAGTAACATAAAAAATAATACTCATATTCTCACCAGGAGCACACTATGTACTTCTGGCCCTAACTCTCCCAGAGAGCACTGACAGCTGTCTTTCCTTTTGGCTGAAACTATTTCCAACATACATACACACAAGTCAGTCAGGGCTATTCATGTCTGTAAGAAATCATAAAAGTTCCTGTCTACGATCAGGGTCATGCCAGAGTTCTGCCCAATACTGTTGTTTCTACCAATCACTATTGCCCAAATTATTATTTACGGTTAATAAAATTATCAAATTGTTCTTTTCTATCTGTATCAATTAACTATCCTATATTCCAGACCTTTCAGAACTAGAAACTCAGCAGCCACCAACTTCAGTGACAGACCCTCCAGCTCAGCCTGCCCTCCAGCTAATACAGTTATACAAGAGGGCCCAATGTCCAACAGAGTAGCCACTATTACATTTACATTTCTGCATGTATTAATATAGTATTATTAATTTAGTGGCTACCTAAATGTATATTAATTAAATTTAAATTTTTTAAAAATTTTGCTTCTCAAGTACTCAATAACCACATGTGGCTAGTGGCTACCACGCTGGGCAAAACAGGTATAATATAATGCATTTCTATCAGCACACAGAACATTCCATTGGACAGCAATGACTAGAATTTTCTTAAAATGGAAGGATTATTGCTTTGAAAAAAGAAGTGAAAACAGGATTAAATTCATTAATTTGGGTATGTACCTAGGAATCACTGTTAATGAGCAAGGCAAGGGTGGGTGATTTTGTATAACAATTCTACCCAGCAGCAAAAACATTTTCTAATTTAGACTCAATATATATTTTACAAATAAGAAATAGAATATTAAAATGAGGATTTGAATCTAATTGTACTTCAAAATTTAAAATCCCAATGTGTATATAAATCTGTCTTCATCTAAATATTCCTGTTTGTTCTAATAATATAAAATCAGTTTATGAAAATCTATACATAAAATCTTTACATAAAAGCACACAGGAAATATGAATGAAATCCTGCTTTTTAAAGGTCCAGTCTCATGGATATCATATGATGTTATAAAAAAAAAAGAAAACAACTTTTCAGATGATAATTTACCTTCTTTAAATACTTAATAAGCCTCCACACAGCCCTGGAATTATTTACTTCCAAATCAGCACAGCAAACGGAAAACATTAGTCATGTCCCACCCAACAAAGTATCTGAAACTAAGAGGGAAAGCATTTCCTGTGTACTGGGGAGATGGTAAAGCCCGATGTCCTGGCCATCCCTGGTGCCCAACATTTGGGAGTCTTACGTGGTGAATAAAGTCCATAAGGAAAGAGTGGGCTTTCATCTTGTCTTCTAGCTGGTGAAGAATAATTAGTGATGTATTGCTGAAGCCAGGTGCTTCTGTTAAATCACAATAACAAAACTTAAGCATATAATGTATTGGTTTTACAATAATTATTGCTATTAAAATATAAGAAAATCTATACAAAGGAAAGCAACAATTCAATATAATTATTTTTAACATTTATCCAAGAGTTAAAATTAGAGGGAAATTTTGGAAGTTTGACATAATTCTTTGCTTGAATTCACACCATATTTATACAAAATAAGTTACTGTTGGTTTATCCCTGTCATAACCCAGGGGCCACATAACGCTCATCTACATTTTTCTCCTCTGAGATTTACTGGGCAGCTGCTTTCCCAATGACATTATGTGCAGCCATCAGGAGAGGATCTGCATAACTGTTTGAAATGGAAGAAATGGGCATGTGCCACAAATACTCTTTTTGCAGGGTATTGTATGAGGTACATCCTGCAGGGGCATATATGTCCTGCCAAACTACAACAGGGTCCACAGGCCGATGGGACATATGCATCCCACCAACCCTATCCTCAGAGTCCAGGAGTCCAGAAGGATTGATGTCGCCCATCAATCCTACCCTCTCAAGTCAAACGGATCACATTCAATGATTTAGTATGTATTCCATTAATGAAAAAACATTTTATCAACAAAGAATTTAAAGCAAAAAATAATTTAGTCATGAAAGGGTTAATTAGCTGTAAACTTGAGAGCTGAAGAGAAACTAAGGAAGAAGGTAAACTATACATTATAAATCTCTAATAAAGAGAGAAAATATATGTTTGAGACAGTTTACTGGTACTTAGGAACCCCTAAAGTGTCCCTAATGCTGGAGAGGCAGTGGGGAATATAAAGAGGGGGGTCACATGGGACACACAGAAGGACATGATATGCCCACTTTCACATGTGGAGATTGCTCACTGCCACTCTTAGGTGAAAGTATCATTTCTATTAGCCACATACAGTGATTACGTCAAAATTACCATTTAATTTGGGGACAAACAAATACCAAATGCCTACCTATACTATCAATCTTCTTTTAGAAATAAATGCCAAGAAACTAAGCAGAGTTATTCTGTTTCAGAGAGAATAATTAGGATGTGCACCAATGTTTCCTTAGTTTCTATTTTATTATCTAGAGCTGCTCTGAGCTTTTTTTCCGAATACCTTATAGGCTACAATCTTTTAAAAAATAACAAATTAATATTAAATTGTTTGAGAAACTAAAATTTATGCCTTGAGAGACAACTTTAATAAAGAACCAGAATATTTTTCTCAAAACAGATCACTCCACCTTATTCAAATCGAAATTTTCTTACCCTCAGGGACAGATTCTGCCCACCGTGGATCAGATGCTGGATAGTCATCTACCAAGTCCACACTGATTTGAGTAACAGCTCTGTCTAGTTCAGAATCAGAATCCAAATCAAGGTGAGAGGGAAACAGCTCATTAACCATCATTTGAGCATGATTTGTATCTTTTCTGAAATAAAATTGGAATACGAAAGTATTAAGGGAGGCAAAATATTTTCAAAACTCACTCTGAAAAAATGGTGAAATTAAAGTCTAATTTACAAGTTTTAGCCCAAAGTTAATTATTTTTAATAAAATTTATTAAATGGGAGAAAATTATTATGTATCCATTAAGTCAATAAATATATTATAAACACAATATGCAATGCCCTGGGGATGGAATGGAATGGTAAACCAGACATTATAGATAGTCCTTAACTTCACCACATATGCAATGTTGTGGAAGAGTCTGATTAGTAAACAAAACTGCAAACGCAGGGTAATAAGCAATACCATAAGGAAGAAATAAAGAACTACAAAGCTCATAGAAGAGAGACCAAAACCATGAAAACCAAAACCAAACGAAACTCACTGCCATCGAGTTAATTCTGACTCATAGCGACCCCCTTTGGGTTTCTGAAGTAGTAAATCTTTACCAAAGTAGATTGCCCAGTCTTCCTTGTGTAGTGGCTAGTGGGTTTGAACCACCAACTTTCTGATTAGCAGTCAAATGCTTTAGGCACTATGCCACCAGAGAGGAAAACGGCCTGCAGGAAGTGAGGTTGAAGCTGAGGCCTGCCAGGCAAGCAGGTGGTCAGGCAAGGCCAGAGAGAGCAAGGGGAGGGAATACAGTTCCATATAGGAGCATGTACTGATGCCTAGAAACAGGTGAGTATGCAGTTCAGGAAACAGAAGGGTAAAAGATATGGGTTTCTTCAGTTACTATCTCAGGGACAGTGTCAAGACTACCTAATAAGTAAGGTAAGTATAGGCTTACTTGTGGTTACTTACTAATCTTTATTTCACATATTTCCACCACATCAAAGAGTCTGCTTCTAGGTATGGCTGGCATCTGTCTGTCTCTCTCCCAATCCCAAAGTCCCTTCCTACAGAATCAAAGCCTCTTTTCAAATTTTTAATCCCTGACAGAGACAGAGTATCCCATAAGCAAGGTAAGCATGGGCTTACTCGTGCCTACTTGCTAATCTGCAATAAACAATTTCACGTGAGTTGCACATAGGAGATAAGAGAAGAGGTAAAAAAATCTTAACTTGGTTACTGCAGAAATCTAGTCAAAAGAAGACAGTGGTCTCCACTAAGAAGTGGGAAATGGAGATAAGTAGACAGATTTGAGAAACACACATGTATGAGGTAGAATTTACCAACTGATTAGATCTGAGACTAAGATAAGAGACATATAAGTTAATTCTCTTCACTGAACAGGAGGTAGAGAAAAAAGAGTAAATAGAGAAGATAAGCTTTGGATGCATTGAAATTGAAGTGCCAGTGTAATATAAAAGGAGTTGGCGGCACATCGGTGAAAGCATTCAGCTGCTAACCAAGAGGTTGCCAGTGTGAACACACCAGCCACGCAGGAGAAATATGAGGCAGTCCACTTCTGTAGGATTTACAGTCTTGGAAACCCTACAGAGCAGCTCCACTCTGTCCCAGAGGATAACTATGAGTCCAAATTCACTTGACAGCAATGGGTTTGGTATTTTGGGTTTGTGAAATATAAATTGCTTTTGGAGATTATCTGGGTTTCTTTAGCAAATGAAGCTAAAGGAGCAGAAAAGATCATTCAGGAAGCAGAAAGAGGAAATGTGGTAGAGAACAGCAAATGTAGAAAATTTTTCAAGTAGTTTAGCTATAAAGTGGAATAAATGCATAAGGTGGTAGCTCAAAAAGAAGCATGAATTCAAATAATTTTTTTTTCCTTCATACAGCAGGTTAAATACAATCAACTACAGATGAGAAGGAGCCAGCACAAGAAAGGTCAGAGAAATGTAACTAAAAATGTAGTCTCATGGGAGGCAGGAGAGAGTGGCATTGAAACAAAACAAAGGAAGTACTTAGATGGGAGGCAAGAAGGAACAGAAGCTGCAATGTAAAAAAAAAATTGTAGACAGTAAATATAGAGATCTAAGCCCTGGTAGCGTAGTGCCTAAGCTATCTGACTGCTAACCAGAAGGTTTAAAGTTCAAACCCATGAGCCATTCCCTGGAAGGAAGATTGGGTAATCTACTTCCATAATGATTTACCACCTCAGAAACACATAGAGGGTTGCTATGAGTCAGAATTGACTCGATGGCAGTAAGTTGTTTATTTTTTTTTTTGAGAAGTCTAGGAAATTCTTATTTGATGCCTTTTATTATCTCTGTGAAACAGGAGGCTAAGTCATCTTGGTAGAAAAACGGAAAGCTGAAGATTTTTTGACAAAGAGTAGAAATGGTCTCTTTGTAAACATGAGGAGCTCTGGTGGCATAGTGCTTAAGGTATCTGACTGATAACCAGAAGGCTGGCAATTCAAACCCACCAGCCACTACTCAGAAGAAAGACTGGGCAATCTACTTTTGTAGACATACTGCCTTGGAAACCCAAGGAGGGGTCACTATAAGTCATAGACGACTCAACGGCAGTGAGTGTTTTTTGAGATGTAAACGTGTCAATAAAAAAATATATTTCAACTTGGCCCATGATTCTCAGTGGTTTGGCAGTTATGAAATGATGTAACCTGTTCTTATAACTAAGCAGTTGCAAAGAGATTAGGGTGGGATGCAACTCCCTTACTCAAGTCACAGTCCTGATGCAATGTAAGGGAAGTTTCCCTGCAGTGTGGCCTGCATCTGTTTTTTGCCTTAGAAGAGAAAGGAAAGAGAAGCAAGCAGAAAAAGAGGAACCTGACTACCACCAAGAAAGAGCTGGGAGCAGACAGCATCCTTTGCCTGTGCTGAGAACCTCCTAGTCCCAGGGGAAGACTGATGCCAAGACACAGAGGTCTCCAAGGAATGCCAGGCCCACAGATATTAAAAGGAGACAAGGACTTTCTTCCAGAGTCAAGAGAGAGAGACATCTTCCTCTAGAGCTGGTGCCTGGAAGTCAGACTTCTAGCCTCCTAAACTGTGAGAGAATTAACGTTTCTTAACGTCATCCACTTGTATTTCTGCTATAGCAGCACTAGATAACTAAGATAACATGCAACAGAGCTGATTAAAGAAACACAAAAAACTGCCTAAAAGTGTTAAAGGCCAAGTGGAGGTTGGAGATATACTTATGTTATAGGTTATGGGAGTACAAAATTAATTATAGCAAGATCCAACCAATATTTACTATTTCAGTCAACAGAGTGAGCTACCTAAAACTCTCATCAACAAAAGAATTTTTTTTTTGAGCTAAGTAAAATGAAAAACAAAATATGGGACAGAGACACTGAGCTTTGAAATGAACTATACAGAAGTGGATTAGGCACCAACTAGTGGAAAAACCTGAACGCAAACAGTCAGTACAGAGATGGCTGGAGCTGCAGACTGTGAGCTACTCTGATGAGACCAACAGCCTGAATGTTTCCAAGTGGTGCTGGGACCTGAGAATTGACCTAAAGATCAGTCCCGGTCACCAAAGGCTGCAGGGACAACTGCTCTGGTGGCATATGACTAGTAAGGGCAACAGTAAGCAGGGAGACAACCTGAGTTATGGACTTTTTGCTGTCTGGAGAGCGCAGCTATTTTGATTGTTTACACATGGCACCCATCTTGGATATTTCAAGTGACCGAGGGCACAGCCATTTTGAATGTTTACACTTGGTGGCCATTTTGGATATTTAAAGTGACAGAAGGGCACAGACATTTTGAATGTTTACAAGTGAGGGCCATTTTGGATATTTAAAATAACTGAGGGCACAGGCATTTTGAATGTTTACAAGTGGCAGCCATTTTGGATTTTAAAGTGATAGCATTCTCATTCAGATTCCAGGGACCTAAGAACAGGCTCTGTTTGCCAGGCTTGGCAAAGACATACAAGAGGCTGACAAGAGGAAAGGAGACAGGTGGTGAGTGTATAAGTGCTGTCAACTAGCGAATAGAGGAGCACAGCACAGTAGCCTGCCTGTACAGATAACATACAAACAAAACAAAGAAAATGAAAATTATGGGCAAGTCACCCCAACATATGTTGTTGTTGTTAAGTGCTGTCGAGTCATTTCCAACTCATAGCAACCCCATGCACAGCAGAAC